CCTCAAGGTCGAGTTTTGTCTTTCGTAGCCACCAGTGCTCAAGTTTGTGCATATGCCTCTCTCAGCTATGAAGATTGTCAATGGTTTTTGACAGACTACGCGAGAAAAAAATCTTGACATGGAGATAATATCAATTGTTGGAGATTTGATTGATTATTTAGCAGATAACACCCTATAAATTTCTAATGAAATGTTCGGAAATTCTCTCAGTAGTATCATTGTAAGAATATTGTTAATTTATGATATTAAATAATTATTTTTATGTACGATTTAGCCAATTAAATATAGATAAATGGTTTCAATATAAGAATTATCAATATCATTAATAGTAATTGAAGTTATATTCCCTTGAAAAAAATAATTGATGGATCTGCTTATGTTGCACCATTTTGATAATTTTATGCCTGCACGTTGATCATCACAGACAAACTCTTCACAAACTCTCTAGCACCAGAAAGTACAGAACACAAACTTCCTATCTCCGAACGTTCATCATTACAGACATTGTGGATCCTTTCACACTTGCAATATATGAACAATCAACTTTCCAACATCTTAAACCGAACAAGACAAGATTCTACAATACCTCATTGCATTCAACCCATACCTAGACCTCAAATTCTCAGCTATCAAGCATTCATATTTCATAATCCCAACAATACAAACCCCTACCACTAGCAACATATGATCAAGAAACATGTGAACATCTAAAACCCAACAAGAGAAATTCAAAGCTATCAACCCTCCACGCAAAGCAAAAACCAAGCATTCCACCATAATACACCTATGCATTCAACCAAACACTAGACTGCATATTGAACAGCACCAGATAGTACTATTATGCAAAAAGCAATTTACTTTGATGTAATATGCAACAATGTAGCAGATTGAAGACCTCCCTTGCTAGCAATAAAACTAGAGAAGAACTTGCTTTGTTTCATTTAACAAGGATTAATTTTAATGACTCTGCAGTATGCACAAAGCAATTTTCTTTCAAGTTTCTATATTCTATCAATATAACAACTCGAATCTAAACCACATAACAAATAGTGCAATTACATAACAAAAGAATTTAGATTTGATTACATTAATCGAATATTTATACTTTTTCAATATACAACAGTCAATAATCAAACCCTGAAATGAATTTTAAAAAAAACTTCCTTCCTCAATTAATCAAGGAAACCAGTTTGTCTCCAAACGAAATTTCTTACCTGTCTCAGATCCCTTCCTTTTAGGGTTCTCCCCACGCCTTCGAGCACTGAACAAGCCAACACAGGGGGCTGCGCTAAGCTCATGACCACAATCTCATGCGGTGGCAGCATTTCCCCTTCTTCCTCCAGGTCCATGTCGTAATCATAGTCAAAATCTTGTTTTTTCCCTCATCGGTTTCGCTAACATCGGCACGTTAACAGGCGCCGTTTGATGAAACCTTCCTGAAGAAAAAGATGAAGATGAAACGATCGGGGTTCGTTCTTGCGGCGGTTTAGGAATCGAAGGAATTGAACGAGCAGAGAAATATGTTGAAGTCATCGAGGGCGACGGGAGAATGATGGAAAATGACTTACGGGTTTCCAAATGGTAAGTCAGTTTACCGTGTTTTACTTTTAGTTTTTCCGTTGACTATAAAACAAATTACATTAACCCTATTATTTTACTGGAATCAAACACAGGAAAACGGAAAAAATATTTTTCGTTAAATGTTTTCCCTCAACCAAACGGATCCTGAATCTTTGATTAGTTAACATCCTTCAAACGGTTCCATTGTATTAGTTTATAAATACTTCAAGTTCTTGTTAAAAAAAGCCTTAAAATAAAAAGTCAAAAAAATATTGACGTAGTCTTTTGATCTATCTAATTGTTTTGGTCGTTGATTGTTACGGTATTGATGCGGTAATTCATGATGAAGTGATAATTCACAACTTTACGTTATTGATATGACAGTTCACAGTACTGACATGATGATCTATGATGGTTGATGATGTTGCAAATGTGTTAAATTGGTTTTTTTATTGAATTCAATGATAAATTGATTTTTTTAAGTTAAGATTTATTTATTTTTTTAAAAACTAAAAAACATTTTAAATTTATATGTAAAATATAAAATATTAAAAATAATAATATGAAAATATGAAAAATAAAAATTTGTTACTAAAAAATAATGTATACATTAAAAACTAAAAAAAATATATTACAAATTATAAAATTGTAAATTATTAAAAAAATAAAAATATTTTAAAATATATCACAAACTATAAAATTAGTTATATCAAGATGACTATTTTAGTTGAGACTCGAGAGGTTATTTCTTACAGTAGTTGAGTTGTTGTAAATATAATAATCGCTTGAATAACATTGATCCCTTGTGGCTTGAAACAACAATCTTTAAAGTTTGGATTGTTATATTATTAATTTTTATTACGAATAAAAAACTTTAACTTTTAAAAATATATTATTTAAAATAAAAACAATATAATTATTTTAAACTGAAGTAATATTAGATTAATTTCCCATGACATCAAAACTTGAATTATAGGTAGAGAGTTATAGAGGAAACTATGATTAGGGTTGTCGACAGTGACAAGAGAAGACGTGAATAAAGAGAGGTGATTGAATAGGGGGAATGGATGACATGAAATACGAAGGAAATGGGAAAATTTTCAAGTGAGAAAAGCAGGTGAGTTGATAAAACAAAAACATGATAAAAGTGCTGGTGAGGGATTCTTTCGAATAACCCATTGGTCGAGTCAGCAGTACTACAACCTGCAACATATAAATATATATATATATATATATGAACAGTGTTGAAGCGAGTACCAAAGCCAACGTGAAAAAAGCACAAATAAATTGCACCACGGAAAGGCAAAGACATTGGCGTGGTTGGTTGTTGTTGGCAGGGGGCTTTTGCAGAAAATGGCGCACATTAACCTCTTTGATCATCATTCACTATACTCTTAGCAACAAGGCAAACAAATCTTACTGTGGACCCATACCCCTTCTTTCACTCTTTGAATTTGTATCTTGTAATGGAGTGGTTATTAGTTTGTGGAAAGCTGGTTTATTAAGAAAAGTTGAGGTTTTCTGGGAAGGATTATGGACGAAGCAAAGGCATGTCGCATCAACGGGAGTCACTGTACTTTTAACTCTCTGCTTGCTCATTTCAGGGAGGAACCTCAAGTGCCTACACTTTTACAATTTTTTCTCACGCTACACGCCATTTCATTTTTCTCACTCTAATTTTCAAGTCAGTAGGTAAGTATTAGTAGAGGAAAATGAGTAGGGTAGTCGTCCCATAAAGTCTTTAATTTTTTTAATATTTTTTTATTAATATTTTTAAATTTTATAAATTCGTTATTCTTTAAAATTTTATAAATTCATCATAAATTTTACATTTTCCCTGAGTATATAATTAAAATATATTACAAATCTATATAATCAGGGATAGATCAAGAAAACTAACGAGAATAATTAAAATATTGATTGAATTTAAATCGTAATACACTAATATCATGTGATGATATTTAAATTTAAATTTATTAAATATTTTAATTTTTTTTCAATAATATTTTTTAAAAAAAATTCCATTCCATTAAATTTAAAATCTATTAGGGTATAATACCTAAATTAATAGTTTTCTTTCATTTTAATACATAAACTTTCATTTGATTTAAAATCATACATAACGTTTACTTTTTATTTTATTTAATACCCGTCATTAAAAACTTAACGAACTGATGTACATGAATTTTTTTATGGATAAATTATATCTTTCATCACTCAACTATATTTTTACCTCTATTTTAATCACTAAAGTTTAAAAATTTTCAATTTAACAACTCAACTTTCAATTTGCTCATGTTTTAATCACTCTAATTTATTTTATTACTAAATTTTGTGACATGATTTTTTTTATTTTATTAATATATAATTAAAATAAAAAATAAATTTAAAAGTTAGAGTAATTAAATTAGGAGTAATTCGAAAGTTAAGTAATTAAATAAAAAAAAATAAAATTCAGTGACTAAAATAAGAGTGAGAAGATAATTAAGTGATTAATGATGTAATTTATACATAAAAAGATGTGGCTATAAAAGTCCCATTAAGTTTTTAACGAAGAAATATTAAAACAAAATAAAAAGTAAAAGTTATGTATTATTTTAAAACAAATAAAAGTTTTGATATCAAAATGAAATAAAAGTAAATATTAATTATGATTTTAAAATAAATAAAAATTTAAGTATTAAAATAAAAATAAAATTAATAATTTAGATACTAAGTATATACTTTACCCAATTTATTATTCTTAGGCGAATGATAATAAATGTCGAGGAGTTTCGGTCCCAAATAAAAAAAAATTATTTTAAGTCTTTAAAGTATTTTAAACTTTTTAAAAGTTTTGAAGTCCTCGTCAAGTTTTAAAGTGTTTAGATATTTAAATTAGGTCCCATAATTTTTTTTTAAATTTTCTATCAAACCATATAATTTTTCAAAATTTTAAATTTTTAATAAAAATTTTAAAATTTTATTAAAACCTTTAAAAGGATTTAATTAAACCCCCCGAGTCCCGTTATTCTTACTTTTATACTGATTTGGCTTGGTGGATGGAGTTTAATCTAAAATTTAAAAAGGAAATGAAATAATTGGATTTATTTAAAAGATAAATTGGATGCGAATCCAGGAATTATTCAGATTTATAATGTGTTAAAAGGGCAATAATGAAGAGTAAGAGTGGGACCCGAATGTGGCAGGGCGTGGGAGAGGGATGAACATGACGTTGTCGGTTGTTTTGTACAGAGAAAAAAGAGTCCTTTAATCTCATCAGAATCTCTCTCTCTCTCTCTCTGTTATTTAACATAAAAAATCTCTATCTCTCTCTTGTCTCTAAAGATTGACTCTTTTCTTTTTTATCTTCCCCCTCGGCTTCACCACAAGCAACCAAGCTGTCGCTTGTTGGGAGCGCTGAAGCAAACCCAGATCCTTAACCCTAAGCCCCAAATCTCCCATCTCCTTCATTTCTTCTTCTTCGCTAATTACATGTTGTAAAAGGCTCGACAAGCTCTTGGCCAGTTGCAGTTCCTTCCGTTTGCTGCTGTTTTCTGGTCATCTCTCTCTCTCTCTCTCTCTGACTTTGGTCCCATTTCGACTTTAATGTCTTTAGTTTTGTTTTTGTTTGAACACGATATTGATTTTATTTTATTTTGTTTATCTTTCTCTCTCTCTATTATCTCTCAGCTTACAGATGTTGTAACGGTTGAAAATAGCGGTATGGGTCGACGGATTTTGGCTGAATAATGCAGATTATTGGGAGAAATATAGGGAGGAAAGGAAAACAAGTTATCTAGATAAGCTTCTTGCATCATCATCATCTCTTTTGAAAAACGTTTCAAAGTTTTAGATGAATAGTTGAATAGTGAATCTTCCGTTTTTAGCTATTTTTTGTGGACTATATTTCTTGAATTATGGAGGTGAGAGGTGAAGAGCACGATATTAAGACGCCGGTTCGTGATGGGAATCATAATGGTGTTGCTGTTCTCACTTGCACTCAAACCCTAGACCATGTTCATCGTCCGCAGAGGCAACAACAACAACAATCGCTAGGTCAAATCGGAAGATCTCCGCACCCGGATCGAGTCGCCAGTTCGAATGCCAAGGCATCGGCCGGCGTAGTCAGGTATCGCGAGTGTCTAAAGAACCACGCTGCCAGCATAGGGGGGAATGTTTACGACGGGTGCGGCGAGTTCATGCCTAGTGGAGACGACGGAACGCTCGAAGCGTTGAAATGCGCCGCCTGCGACTGCCACCGAAACTTCCACCGCAAAGAGGTCGATGGCGAGACTCAACAGCTCGGGGGTAATCATGCCGGTCGAAGAAGTTTAATGCTTAACCCTCTTCAGTTGCCTCCACCTTTGCCATCTCCAACCATGCTGCACCACTACCACCACCATCAAAAGTACATAAGTCCACCCAGTGCAATGATTGCACCGATGAATGTAGCGTTCGGCGGAGGAGGTACCGAGTCTTCGAGCGAGGATCTCAACATGTACCAGTCCAATCCCGAGGGAATGCCGCCGGCACCCTCTTATGTTTTTTCAAAGAAGAGATTCAGAACTAAATTCACGCAGGAACAGAAAGATAAGATGTTGGAATTAGCCGAGAAACTGGGCTGGAGGATCAACAAACAAGATGAAGATGAAGTGGAGAAGTTTTGCACCGAGTACGGCGTCAAAAGGAAGGTTTTCAAGGTCTGGATGCACAACAACAAGAACGTGAAGAAGCCGCCCCAGGATGAGTAGCATATATCATCATCTTCATAATTCCATATATATGTATACAATGAGGCAGCCTAGAAGATTAAACCAGACGTTGTTAAAGGAGCTGGCCTTAAAAAAGTTGAAATATTTGTATAATTCTTCATTGCAAAAGCCTTGGTTATCTCTTGGCAAATTCAGCACTTGCATTAGTAATTGTTCTTTCTTTAAGTTATAATGCTAGTCGCTTTCTCATCATTTAATCTGTGAGAAAAAAGAAATATGAAAATGGGTATCTGGTTCTTCTCAATATTTAATGGTGATTGGTAAAACTTGGTGAGTTCATTTCATGCAGGCTCTTGTTCCATTGGGTTTTTTAACATTACTGCACACTAGTCTGTGAGGTTCAATTCAGGGTTTTATTAACAATATTCTGTTGGCATTTGTATTTGGATTTTGGAACCATCTTCCACTCTTAGCTTTCAACCAAAATTAAATGGACAATACGTTCTCAAGAGATTGTGACCCAACACGTTTTTCCTGCTTGATATTTAGATCTTTTTCACCATAAAATTTTATATTAAACCTATAAAATTCAAATTAACAATAAAAAAATATAAATCACGTACGAATTTAAAATTTTCAGTAACGATGGTAGTACATCCCTGTGTACAACAAATGAAGACAATACCCTCTTAACCAATTAACATGTTTAATTTTGTAATTTTTACATGATTTTATAATTTTGTTATATTCTACCTAAGATTTTATATTCAAAACATATTTGAATAAACCAAATATCGATATTTAAAAAAAATTATGAAAACCGAAAGTTCACACAATGTATAAAAAAAAAATTGGGCATTAAAGCGCGTCTCCAATATTAAATTACGATGTCCTTGCTCCTTACGACATTTCCCACATATGAAGGTCAATTTCAACTTTTATGTGCTAACTTTTGTAGCTTTGTCATCTCAACAAATTTGGTCCGCTAGTTTGGTCATTGAAGGACATTTCGTACACGAGGTAAGTGTCTCTACTTTGCAGAGTAACATCCATATCCATAATCTTGCTAGTATTGTTCAGTCCTTACTTGGAGGTAAGGTGTCGCAAGTTAGGGCTTGAGGCATATGAGCTACTCCTAAACATTTGATGGATGCATGTCCATTGTTTCAACATGACCGCTAACAACTAGTGTTATGTTAGATTTAAATCTAAAATTTTAAAATAAAAAATCAATTCGATCAAAACCTATTAGATTCAGGGAAATGACTATCCGTATTCTCATTAATAAGATTATTAAAGTTGTTCTACAGGGGTAGTTGTTTGTTTGATCAATGTTAACTATGGAGTTGTCTGGTAATTAACACCTAAGGAAGTATAGTTGGTTTGAGGATGCTCCTCGATCGTCAAAGAAGAATTTATAATCTATGATCAACCCTGATATCAAAGTTGAGATCTTACTTGAACCTATATCTTCTTAATTATTGGTTAAATCTATTTTAGTTTATTTTATAATTTTTAATTGTATTTGTTCAATATTTTATTTAAATTAGTTTGGAATCCGTTTAAACTTATATATATATATATATATATATATATATATATATATATATTTCATAAACCCAGGTCAAATACTAGGTATGAAACTGTTCAAAAAAATCCCTATTCATCGATATTTTTAGTTCTGATAACTCAATCTATGGGGAATCGACCTTACACCCCTTTTACAACTCAATCTATGTAAAATATTATTAGGTAAACTACATGTTTAATGCCTAAACTATTACTTTTGTTTTTGTTTTGGTACCTAAACTTTTTTTTTTCAAAATCATACTTAGTATTTTGTTTAGGTTTCAGTTTGACCCCGTTAAAAAATTAACATTACTACTGACGTGATTTTTTTTTTATTTTTTCAACGATGACATGACATTACCTTATGGTGACACGTCAACATCACCATTAAGGTGTTAAAAGTGAGGTGCCAAAATGAAAAATAAACTAAATGTTAAATATGATTTTGAAAAAAAAAAGTTTAAGTACCAAAACGAAAGAAAAATAAAAATTTAGGTATTAAATGTGTAGTTTACCAAATATTATTGTTGTTGGATCCGACCCCAATCAAGAGGTAAATTAGTTTAAAAGATGAATGTATTAATTTAAGAACATACTTAAACAGGGTGTATTAGTTTAATAAAGGCATTTTTAACACATTAGATTTTTATATGCAGCAATTTAACCCAAAGAAGGAAAAAAAATCTCGAGATGCTGAAGCAAACAGAAAAATAATATTGGTTTCGTAATTAATTTCTAATTCGAATAGTATGAAAGGTCTAAAAAACAGCACATGAATCAGAAAAAAATGAAGAAAATCACAGTGATTCTCCAATCCAAACGCCCTCATTATCGGAGGATATGACCGATTGGTTTACTTTCAATTTATTACAGTAGTATATCCCATTTGTAGTTACAGCTCCCGGCTCAAACTTTTCCTGCGGCTGGAGTTGCGGTTGTTGGGGCCGGTGATGGTGTTGATCCGGATGAAGAGGAGAACATGTTCTCAATGTCGCTGAACGCAGTGACACGTCACAAGTTATGATCCATAATATGCATATAAGAACAATAGCTAATGCGTTTATAAATTATTAGAATTAAGATTTTCTTTCTCACTGGATTTTGTCCTTGGCCCAGCCGGTCCATGTTGAGTCCTTATTCTCCGCGGATGGCGCGTCAGCAGCTGGTGCAGCGGTCCCCTTAGTGTCTGCTGCGCCTGTCGCCGGTGTAGCTGGAACTGCACCGTCACAAACGACGGAATGGACCGAGAGAATCGTGATCATCGAGACCAAAACAATAACCAAAGCAATCTTTGCCATTTTTGGTGTTTGTTCTTTGGTTTTGGTAAAGAAAGCAAAGAGAAAGTGATGAATTTATTTATTTACTTTTGTGAATATGAATTTATTCACTGAAATGTAATTGATGATATGAAGTCTGGAATTATGAAGAATTTATAACGTTTTGGAGGAGAAGCGTATGGCAAGTTCATAGGTAGGCGACTGCTTAAGTTTCTAATAACCGAACACGAGTTGAACTGTGAGAGCATTTCTGTTTTAAGAATATATACCTGAAAAGAAATCATTTAAAATCTGTGTCTGGTTCCATTTATTTCTGTTATTTTGTTTAATTTAACTTTGATTTGGTTTTATATTGAAAATGTAATCAACAATCGAGTCATGTTATTGAATGGATTTGCTAAGCAGTCCAATTAACAAGGTTTGATTGATCCTATACATGTTTATATTTTATTTTAGTAATTAATTTTTTTATTCTCTTAATACTTAACAGCATAATTCTGTTTTCTATAATTCTAAAAAGTTTTCCATGAAAAAGTATCCCTAAACTTTTAAGTATTTCAAATTCATCTTTGAATTATGACCTCTATTCCAGACTGATCTCCAAAATTTCTAATGCTTAAATAACGTCTCTTAAAATCATCCAAAAATTTAGTGATGAAATTGGAACATTCCAAATTTTAAAAATTAATTTAAAATAATAGTCATAGTTTCAAAATGATTTTAAAACTTTAAGAATTTAGAGACCAATACAAAATAAAAAACATGTTAGGTTTGGCTCATAAATATACCAGTAAAGAGGACAGGAGATGGAGCGGAGTGAGCGAACGCAGCGAACATCAACTGTCCTTACAAAGAAAGTCTCGTTGTGGGGTTACAAATTATGTGGGTTGGGGGTACGGGGGCGTAGCCCCCGCGGTACGGTACAGGGTTGATTTTGTAATTATGTACCAGGGTTTTCTATTATAAATAGAGATGTAACCTAGACCTAAAATATTATTGAATAAAATTCTAGCGCCGCCTAGGCACCGAGGACGTAAGCACATTGCCGAACCTCGTAAAATTCTCGTGTTCTTTCGTTTTCTTTACCCGTTTTCGTCAACAATTGGTATCAGATGTCAGGAGCAAAATTCGAAGTCGCGAAATTCGATGGTCAGGGTAACTTCGGATTATGGCAAACGAGGGTGAAGGATCTATTGGCGCAGCAAGGGATCTTGAAGGCTTTGCGACCTATAAAGCCGGCGTCGATGGATGAGGAAGATTGGGAAGAATTGCAGCAGCGAGCGGCAGGAACCATACGATTATGCTTGGCGGACGAGGTCATGTATCACGTCATGCATCTATCGTCTCCAGACGAAATTTGGAGGAAGTTGGAAAGTCAGTTTATGTCCAAATCCTTAACGACAAAACTGTATCTGAAGCAGCGGCTGTATGGGCTGAAGATGCAGGACGATCACGATTTGGCGCAACACGTGAATGTCTTCAATCAAATCGTTTCTGATCTGGCTCGGCTTGATGTGAAAATTGAGGATGAAGACAGAGCGATGATTCTGTTGTGTTCGTTGCCTTCCTCTTACGAACACATGGTGACTACTCTTACATATGGGAAAGAGACTATCAACGTTGAGGAGATTACTGCAGCCTTGTTGGCTCACAACCAGCGGAAGCAGAATGCAGGGGAAAGCTCTCAAGCCGATAGCTTATATGTCAAGGGTAATCGAGATCGTGGACGGAAGCCAGAGAAGGCAGGGTCCGGGAAGCGGAATTCCAGATCCAAATCCAGGGATAAGAAGACGATTCACTGTTACAAGTGAAAGGAGGCGGGACATATGAAGCGAGACTGTCCGAAGTTGAAAAAGCAGACTGATGAGAAGCGTGATGGCTCATCCAAGTCTGTGAACGTGGTCGAGGATGATACTTCTGATTGCAGTGAGGGTGATATGCTTTCTATTTCAACGACACAATTGACGGATGCTTGGATTCTTGATTCTGGATGTTCTTATCACATCACGCCAAATAGGGAATGGTTTTCGACATACAGGCCGGTTAATTCTGGTTCGGTTTATTTGGGTGATGATCGATGTTGCAATATTGTTGGTATTGGTGATGTCAGAATTAAGATGCACGATGGCTCCGTTCGGACGTTGAGTGGTGTTCGACATATCCCAGACTTGAAGAAGAATTTGATTTCCTTGGGCACTTTGCACAAGAATGGTTTTATCCCTAAGGCTGACGAGGATAGGGAAACCATTCGGATTTTTAAAGGAGCATTGACTGTGATGAAAGGCAAGATGACTGCAGGGAATATCTACAGATTGTTAGGGAGTACCGTTGCAGGTGGAGTTCACTCTGTTGAGTCCTGTGATGATACGACAAAATTGTGGCATATGTGCCTTGCTCATCTTAGTG